AGAAATTATCTCAAGGGGAAGGTGTTAGGCACCCCTCAAGATCCACTAGTGTGGTTCCCGGCCATGCTATGTTGTGACTTTAATGCAAATAGATACACAAAGGATTTTACACATAAGGGTTGCAAATAAATACGTGACAAGTATGTGGGATCAAGGTCTAGATGATCTATAATTTGTTTAAAAGGGGGACTAAACGCAGAAAATTAATCAATACATTGAATAAACAAAGAAGAAAAATTTGGAAGAAAAGGCATAATAAAGTAAAGTTAAGGAGGAGTTTTGAGTAGTTGAAAAGACAAGATTTTATAGATATTAAACAAAGTTGTATAAGAAAAGGGGTCCTAGGTTTAAAAATCACATGTATCATCCACACAACACCGGTAATCAATTGTACGCGTAGTGTTATCGTGTGATCATCATCTCCATGTCTACCCTTCCCACCCTGTTAAGGTATTAAGCGCGAAATAGTCTCGTTTACTTATTGCATGCTATTACCCGTCCCACCTATCAGTCCTGGAGGCTTTTAGGACTACTAATCCTAAAGGGAGGAAGCTTGGCTTTTCAGAGGTTTAAAAAGGTTAAAATACTAAGGCGTCAAGCAAAACACATGAAAGCAGTTATGGGAGCACAAAACAATTAAGGCTCAGATAAACCTCCTTTAATCACAGAAAATCATGTAGTTTAGCATGTCTTACATGTACTGATTAGGTCGAAATTATGCTTAACGTTAGGCAGGCTGGTTCATTACATATTTTTAGGCAAGAAGTTCGCATTAGGCTCGCCTGGCTGCAACTTATCGAAGACCAGTGCAATTAATTAACTACATACTTGTTTGCCTACGTGATGGCCTACAGGGATGGCATCTACTGGTTTCAGGAATAAAGAAACAAACTGATTAAGAAAGTTACCAGTTTTAACAGAATGGTGCGAGTTCTGTAATTAGTGCTAATCTTAAAACGAGTGATGCAGATTTGATTGATAATTCCTATAGGCATACTTTCTAGCGTCGTTAATTTGAACACTTTTTATAAGCGTAGCGAAAGCGCAGAAATACTATAAGCATGGTATCTGAGTACTGTTAGCAGTTAATCCTATAAATAGGTTTGCCTAGTGAACAATGCATGCGTAGAGTCTGGATTTCTGGTTACTTATAGGCGTGGTATCCATATGGAGATGCAAAATTCCTACAGACATGGTATCTATATGGATGCATAAACCTATAGACATGATATCTATGTGGATGCATAAACCTATAGACATGGTATCTACGTGGATGCATAAACCTATAGACATGGTATCTACGTGTGATATGCAAATGTGCAAAGCTGTAGGCAAGATACATGAGTACAGAAGTGTGGTAATTCCCTATGAGCATGATATCTACCCCTTTGCATGCATGGTTACCCTTCCCTTTTCACTAATCACCGCAGAGGTTATTACAAAATTTTATTACAGACCAAGATGAATCAAAAACTGGAAATAAAATTACAATCAGAACTCTTAAGCTGCATCCAAGGAGCCTAATTCAAACCCAAGGTCTAACAATATGATATGAGCCAACTGCCAGGATCAGGTTCCAAAGCCTTTCTCTTATCTGGAGTGTGTCAAAGTTCCAAGGAATTTCAAGAACTCCAGGCAATGCTCACACCCAGATATCAGAACTGAATGAAAGTGCAGTGTGGAAGGGCCAGCCCTCCAATGTCCAAATTCAGAGGGAGCTCAAGGTCCCAAGGCAAGGCTCATTGGAGGGGGGCAGAACTTAGAGTCTAGGAACAAGTGTAAGTGCAGTAGAGGGATATAAGGGATGCCAAGGCAGGCTGGTGGCCATGCCCAGCAACATAAAATGCTGGCACACCCCTGACCAGCCCACTAGCCAAATATTGGAGAGTTAGGACCTATTGAAGGTCAGGTTCAACCCTGGACAACAATTTGGATGCTGCCAGGCCAAACCTTAACTCAAACACACATAAGGGAATGGGGATAGGAAACTGAAAGAGCTTAGGACCCAAAGGGTCTAGTTTACATCCATAGACAATAACTTTGTATATTGTCATGTTTTTTAAACTATAGCTCAAACACATAGGGGGACATGGGGAATGGGATTCATTGCAAGACATAAGCAAGATATAAGCACATTATACAAAGGTTAAATTCTACAGGCAGTAAAGTAAGCATGGATAGGAGAATTGGTAAGTAAACACATTAGAGTTGATGCTGGAATTAAAACTAGGACATACCTGTTTCAGAAAGAGACAAGCCAAAGAAAGCAGAAGTCTTGCAAAGAGGCCACAGTACAAGCAACAAGAGAGAATACTTTTGGAGTGTGAGTGTGAGTTCAGAAAACTACGAATGTTGGTGTGTTGTGTTAATAAAAGAGCATGTATTTATAGTTTGAAAACAGGTAAGGAATAAGGCAAAGAAATAACCATGTACCAATTAGAATCAATCAGCAGAAGAATTTCCTTTAATTAAGGAGTTCAAACTTAAACGGTAATGAACAAAAGAGTATTTAAGGAAAGAGATCAAGTAAGCATCTTGTGCAAAGTAGGCAATTAGGGGTAAATACATAGGAGTTTAATTAAGGGAAGAAATTTTGAAATACACGGTCAAACAAATAAGGTAAGAACCAATCAGTACCCAATAAATCAAAGAATCAGAGATTTGCAACTATTGGTTCATGAATAACCAAGTAAGAAAAGGCTAAGGAAAAGGTTTTACTTAAGAAGAATCAGTAGCAATCAATTACCCCCCCGAAAAAAAAGGATTCTGATTCGAACACAAGTTGCAAAACCTTTTGAAGAACGATTTTAACACATAAAAAGGGGTTGTCATGCTAATCAGAGGAGTATAGTATAGAAGAATTCATACACAAAAGGATTCAAACTCAGTACATGGACCCCAAGTGAGTTTGAGAGAGTCCAGGGCTCAAATAGGACCCTAGTCCAAACACACAAGACCAAACTCGCCAAAACCCCCACATCCTAGGGTTTTCGACTTGAACCAAATGCAAAGAAGAGGAAACAAGCAGATACAGTAGAAGGTTTAATGCAAACAGAGTCATGGAATTAATTCGAAACACAATGAGAGTAGAAGAAACAGTAGAGGAAAATATGCTTAAGCAGGCATAGTAAGCTCACTTAATGAACATGGTAGAAAAATACAGTAGGCGAAGCATATCAAGTCGTAATGGAAGGCAAGTAGCAGAACATAGCATGTGAAAACATAGCACAGAAACATAGCATGTGAAAACATAGCACATAAACATAGTAGAAGGAAGAACAAAATATAGCAAACATAGTAGAAGAACATGTGTAAAAAAGAGAAAACATAAGAACATGGTAGAGACAAACATACACGAGAAAGGGAGAAGAAAGATCGGAAAACACATAAGCATTTTTTCAGAAACCCTAAATCAGAAAGAAGTGACTTTGGAAAAGAATTTTATAAAGAAAAGTTGGGGAAACCTTTTAAAAACTCAAAGTAAAGCATGAATCACACAGATCTGAAGAGAATTGGAGAAAAACCTCGAACAGCTAGGGTTTCAGGTGAACCCTAGAACGAGAAAGGCTTTGGAAAATGTCTGATCTAAGTCGGATAAGACTGGAAACAGGCTCAGGAGGCTAAGATATGCCGGAGCCAAGCCGGAGATGGCCGGAACCCTCAAGTCGGCAGAGATCTGGGTGGAGACCTTTGAGGTCTAGCCTCAAACCTTCAAATACCAAGCGCACAAGAGCGATAGGAGGTGAGTATGAGGGTTTCACGGCCTGAGAAGCCATGGAAACCGGCGAGAATCGAAGGGATTAGGGTTAGCTTGGGTGGCGGCGACTAGGGTTTGCAGAGAGAATGGGAGAGGAAGGGAATTCAAGGGCGGCGGGTAGAGGGAAATGAATTAGGGTTGGGGGGTTTGGTAAATTAAAAAGGAAAGGGTGTATTTGGGCCGTTGATCTTTTAGATCAACGGCTGTGATTAGAAGGGGTTAGGTGGGAGACCGGGTGGGTCGGTTCAAACGGGTTGTTGGGCTAGATTAATTGGGTCTAAAATTGGGCTAATTTGGGGGTCCAATGTGGCTACAATTGAAATAATATCTGGCTAGCACTTAATGGTCATTTTTCCCTTTTTTTATTTTATAAAATAGTGAGAATGATTTTAAAAACAAATNAGGATCAGTGCTACCCCTTGACCAGAGATAATATAGCCCAAATACTCCACCTTATCTTGCCCAAAGGCACACTTGTACAGTTTAGCATAGAGTTTTTCCTTCTGTAAAACTTGTAGGACTTGTCTAAGATGATCTACATGGATGTCCACTGTTGGACTGTAAACTAAGATGTCATCAAAGAAAACTAGGACAAACTTTCTTAGAAAAGGTCTGAAAACATGGTTCATCAGACTTTGAAAGGTTGCAGGGGCATTTGTCAAGCCAAAAGGCATGACTTTAAACTCATAGTGTCTCAGATGTGTCCTAAATGCAGTTTTATAGATGTCAGACCTCTCCATCCTAATTTGATGATACGCAGCCTTTAGATCAATCTTGGAATATATACAAGATCCCTTAAGTTCATCCATCAAATCATCTACTAAAGGTATAGGGAATTTATCCTTTATGGTCATCTTGTTTAGCTCTCTATAATCAATGCAGAACCTCCAACTCCCATCCTTTTTCTTCACTAATAGTACAGGTGAGGAAAAAGGAGAATGACTAGGCTGTATAATTCCACTATTTAACATTTCATTGACTTGCTTTTCTATTTCATTTTTCTAAAAGTGATTATACCTGTAAGGTCTAATACTCACTGCTGTTGCATCAGATTTGAGAGGAATGGAATGATCATGGCTCCTCTGTGCTGGCAAAGTCTTTGGTTCTTCAAACACATCTGGAAATTCCTCTAGCACTCCACTGATCCTTTGAGGTATGTTCCCTTGTATTTCAGCATTCTTAGTAGTGATTGTAAATAAATGAGCCCACAGCACCTTCCCCTTTTTGAGAAGTTGTTTCACTCCACCAGCTGTCATTCTATGGAGTTTCCCTTCTTCAGAATATCCCTTAAGGTCCACTCTTTTCCCCTTCACACTCACGTGTAACTTGTATTCAATGAAATCAAATAGAATGGGATTATGTTTTCTCATCCAATCCACCCCCAAGACCACATTACATCCCCCAATATCTAGTAACCTTAGCTTGTGTTCAAAATCTATCCCTTGAGTCTTCCAGCTAAATTGAGGACAAGATTGGTAACTCATCAGGTAGCCCCAATTAGCCACAGCTACCCTCATAGGTACATCATCTTTAACTATACACCCTAGGTGTTTGGCAGTCTCACTAGCTATGAAACTGTTGGTGCTTCCACTGTCTGCTAATATAGTCAACATGTTCTTCCCATACAGCCCTCTAAGCTTAATGGTAGTAGAAGTTATGGTGCCTGAAAGTGCATTGAAACTGATGGCCTCATCCAATATCTCTTCCATCATCCCATTAGGCATAGTCCCACCTTCTGTACTTAGCTCTGTAATTTCTTCCTCTTGTTTAGTACTTCCAGGTAGTGTATTCAGCTGCCTATTCTTGCACACATGGCCTGGGAAATACTTTTCTCCACATTTGTAGCATTCACCCCTTGCTTTCCTAGCTTCAAACAATTTAGTCCCTGATAAAGTTGTATTAGAACTGCCTTCTTTTTGTGAGTTTCCCACAGTTTTGTTCCCTGCTGCTAGATTAGAGCCTTGATACTGCCCTACACTCCTCACTCCACTGAACCTATTTTTCTTGGCCATGGTATCAATCAAGTTCTCATTGTGCCTAGCCTTTTCCACAGATGACTTAAGGAATATGGGTCAAGCATCTTCACAGTGTGCCTAATTTCTTCTTTCAAACCTTCAATAAAGAACCCTAGAAAAAATTCTACAGGCATAGTTGGGTATTTTATCAACACCCAGGCCTTCAAATCTTCGAACCTCTCTAAGTATTCATTGACAGTCCCTTTTTGTTCTACCCTTTTAAACTCCCCCAACAACTTCAAGTTACTATTATCATATTCATTAAATCTCTTGCAGATTTCTTCAATAAAATCTGACCATCTCACAATCCCTCTACTCAATTGATAAGAAAAGTACCAAGACTCAGCCCTCCCATTAAGATGAAGAATAGCTGATTCTAATTTCTGTTGTGGGTCTGTAATATGGTTGTAATGAAAATACCTTTCACATTTGCGCAGCCACGATCGAGGATCTCCTTCCTCAAAGTATGGGAACTCCACTCTAGAAGCAAAATTGTTCACCAGATTTCGCCCAGTCTGTTGCTCCGGTGGTTCTGCTCTTCTCACTCTGCTTCCAGAACCTTCCAATTGAAGACCATCAGCTGGTGGACTCCCCAGAATGTCGTCCCTGTGTGAAAAGAGTTTCTCCATCATCACATCAAATTTTCTGTTCAGATCATCCATGTTTGAGTCATTGTAACTGATTTTCCAATTCTTTACATTCTCCTCAGTGTTTTAGCTCTCGTCTCTGTAATAGTCATGGCACCAGGATACTGCTCTGATACCAAATTGTTATGGCTTGATTCAGTTTAGCACTTAATGACAATTATAGAATCAAAAGGAAAACTGGAACTCTTATTCAATATCAATGAATGGTAATCACCATCGTTACATGCAACTACTAGAATTGAAGAATTGGGAATTAAGAATTGAATAAGAAGAAGAATCTAGAAGAAAGATTAAGAGAGAAGAATTGGTTGAGAGTGTTATTTATGTGGGCCGAATGTTGTTGAAGAAAGAAACAACACAATTAATAATCCATCTAGGGCAATAATAGAAGATGGTCCAAACAGTATAAATGGACCACAACCTGTTGAAGAGCCTCCACTTGAAGAGTTTGAGACTGTTATTGGTGGGGAAGGGGCTGCTTCTGGTGGGGAGGATTTTTCTGGTAATGTAGAAGAGGAAGTTGATAGTGTAGAGAATCTGAATGGTGGAGAAGGGGCTGATGAAGAAGAGGTTGCTTTAGAGGTAGCTAGTAGTGAGTCAGATCTTGATGAACTTCTTGAGGAGAATGATAGTGAGTTGATGAAGAGGCCAGGACCTTCAGAAATGAGAGGAGAACTAAAAAGAATGGTACCAGAAGGAAGAAACAACATGAAACTGCTAGTGTGCCTATAAGAAAAGCTCGAATTGATAAAGGTTTTGAAGATNCGTGGCGCAAACATGTCAAAGGCTGGGGAAACCAACACTGTGGCTAACACAAACCAACTCCCCTCCGCCCTCCCACCAAGAAGTTTTCTTTAGGTGCAGGGCCAACAGGGAATAAGGAAGCGCGAGGACTACATTGCGGCGAATGACGGACGCACCACTTGCCTAAGATTATCTCTCCTTTTTTTTGCTTAAAATTTTCTAGCACAGCTAATGCTAACTTCTGAATCCTCTACAGGTGCCTCAGAATCATACAGCTGACACGGAAATTTATACATAGTAAACGGCCTGCTCAATCAACCAGAGCACCCTCTACAAATCGCATGTCGACTTCACCAACCGAAGTCCTGTATATAGCAAACTGTCAGCTCAATCAATCGGAGCGCCTTGTACAAATCGAATGACGGCTTCACCAACTGGAGGCTTGTATATAGCAAATTGCAAACTTCGCCAGAAAAAGCAATTCGCAGCACTGCTCTTTCAATCACGAATACCGGGGTATACAATAAAAAACCTTGTTACCAACGTCTTTCCAATCGATGGTCGCAACCTAGCTTTGCAGTCAAGAGTATCTCTTGGGCATGCTTTCATTTTCTTTACTATTACTTTGAATGTTTTGACGTTTTGCTCATGCAGCTTTAGGTATGATAACAGTTTTTATCAATTTTGACGTTTTGCTCATGCAGCTTTAGGTATGATAATAGTTTTTATCAATCCCTCCTGAACGGAGAATACTTTACATCTCAATGCAAAGCTCTCCCAACAAGCGGAGATGCACTTTACAAAACGAGCTCTCCCAACAAACGGAGATATCTCTCATTGCAAAGCTCTCCCAACAAGTGGAGAGCGCTTTACCAATCAAGCTCTCCCAACAAACGGAGATAATTTTCAAATGCTCCAACAGCTGCAGAACGCTACACAGCCCGTCTAACAAATCGAATCAGGATCAAGTATCTCATCATCCCAATCCCAAATAACGGCTCACCGGCAGCCAAGCATCATCATTTATGCATCATTTACATCGCATCTTAATATATTCTACATTATAATATATTGGTATGCATATATTTCATTTGTTTTGCAGGGACAAACATTGCAGCATGGAACTTTCTCTTAGAACCAGACCAAACTACAGCATTATGGGGCCAGCCAACCTAGTAGGGGCCTAAGACCCCATCTCAGGACGATCAACGAGCTCAAAATTTTGAATCACCAGGCTGCAAAATTCAAGTTAGCATGAGTGGCCTATCTTCCATCTTGCCATATCGTCACAATACGATACTGGGGCAATTCCTGCGACTGCCACTTCCCCAAAATCAATACTCCAGAACTACATGAGGCCTGATCCTCGTTAAGCCCGAGGTATGTAAGAAATTCAAAGCCAGAATTCGGCCCCTATATCTCCAAAACTCTTTCCAAAATCTTCCAAATCCTGCAATCCTTATGCCAGTCTTGCAATGTATGCCTGAAGTTGGGACAAAATTAGCCTTGGGTTCAATTTCTTTGCCCGAAAACTCTTTCATCGTCTCCGGCAACTGTTGACGGTCAATTTTTACCCTCAATTTTAAACTTAACTTATTTATACTTAATAATTTGCAATAAATGTTTTCAAAGTATTTTCAGTAATGAATACCTATTTTTAGAAATTAATTCAGTATTAGTTTCAAAATTAAGCATTTGGTATTAGTATGATGTAATTACAAATTATATTTACAATTTAAGGATTATAAAATAATTTCTATTCGTAAGTTATATAACTAATTCAATAAATTACTTCTTAAAATAGTTAATTAGTTTACCAATTCAATAGTTCAAATTAATGTCCTAGTGAAGTATATTTATATATAATCAATTAATTACAATAATTAGTATTATTTAACAATAATAATTTTCATTGCATTTTATTGAAACTATTAAAGTTATTCAACTTAAATTCAAAAGGGATTAAAGGAAAAGGCCACAATTGCAATTCTTGAATCAATTATAAAATGGCTACATTTTAAATGATTTTTAGCCCAATATAAGGCCCAATCCGAAATAACTCATTCCAAACACCCCATCTCCATTCTAATGTGGCAATTCGTGCCATCTCCTTTGCACCAATCACTGCGTGCCACGTCATATTCCCTCACCGCTCACAAAACAAACACACTCGCATCTGAGTCGTTGGTCCATCTGATCAACGGCTCACATTTATTCTCAATTTTTTTTTTGATTTTAAATACCCGCCCCAGAGATCTCATTCCCACCGTCCAAAATCTCTTAATCCAACGGCCACTGAAATTTCGCTCCAAAAATCTTTAATGACCAAATTATCAAGACCGTTGATCTCAAAGATCAACGACCCATATTCCATCTCTCAAATTTAACCCTAGAGACGGACCCCTAATCCCCCAAACCATAATCATTCACTCAGAGACTCGCCGCCCTCATTTCCCTAAACTCTCTCTTTTCTCTCATCCGTCTCCAGCCTATCAATCCCAAATCCTTGCACAAATTGTGCAAGGTCACATAAATCAAACCCCAAACACTCAATCTTCCTCCCTATCTGCGAATATCGTTGTTATTTTCCTCTTTCAATCACTGGAACTGAAACGCCCAGTTTTGAAACCCTAAGCTCAAAACACCATTAATTTGATTCCTACCTTGTTCTTTCAAATCAAACATACATAACACTCATCTTGTCCCTGGGCTATGAAGTCTGATGTTATTTTTTTGTTTCATCGAAGAAATTTTTAAAACCCCAGTTATGAAATCACAGACCAAAATATGAAACTTCACATCTTTGATTTTCCTTCATGTTCTATTAAATCGGAGCATGCATAAGCACGTTTCATAGCCTCAACAAGATTATTCAAACTCCAGAGGTCAAATGCAATGACCTCTGGATATTGGAGCTTTGATCTATGGGTTTTCCTTCAACGGTCAGCTTTTCTCACTCAGGTAACGTGTTCACCATTTTTCACTCCGTCTCCCAGATTTTTCACTCGATTTTGTTAACATCATCAATCTTTCGTCACTTTCCACTCATGATTTTGAATCTGTTTGAAACCCTAGAGCCTTAATGGCACTATAAAAAAGGGCTTTAATGTTCTCACCTAACAATCATCTACCACAACCGAGAATCACCAACTAGACAAAAATCATCTAAGACCAATTCTGAGATTTCAAAAACCTAGGGTTTATTACTGATTCCTTTTTTTGTTTCTGAGTACTTTCGCTTCTTCGAGCTTGAAACTTTGGGGTCTTAAGCAACTAAGAGAGATCCTTGTTTGGTCTGCTACTCTCAAAAAGGTCAGAACCTCTCTCATTATTCTCTTTCTTTCATTTTTTTGAATACTACAAGCATGCCAAATTAGGTTTTGTATATTGCAGTTGTTCTATGATATTTAATATGCTAACATATTTGTGCTATGTTAGTTTAGTAGTTACTTGTGATTAGTTGTCTTACTTTGAGTCTTTAGTCAGTGACTGATTAATCATTAATCGATTTCTTTTGATCTTTGTTCTGAGTTTCCAACAATCTCCATGCCTAAGTTATTATATGTTCATGTTCAACATGGACTTCATGGCTTTCATTGACCTGCA